TAAATACAGTAATCCAGCCAGCTACCTGTGGGACAAAAATAGAAAATTTGGGCAAAAAATCTTGAAAATCAATAAAGCTCACTTTTTCTGATTCAGTACTTCCTTGTGAGAGCCCCCCATTGTGCATGAAAGTGAAATCTAAGCACTTTGGAAACAGGTGTAAATGTGTCCAAAAATGTCTGGTTTTCATTAGGCTTACAGAAACGCTCAGAACTTTTCAACTATTCAGATTGCACCATTAGAAACCCAACATTTGAAAGTACATTTGTGTGTAAATTTCATGAAAGTACTAGGCTATGTGCTGTACCACTAGTATATACCTAGGGTCAATAATTTGGGCATGCACTTTCCTGACTCTTCTCCATTCCTCCTCACCCCTCTCCCTTGAAAAAGACAATAACTAAATACATAAATTAGGCTGACCACACCCAGACCCCACCCTCCCCCTCTATTTTCTATCTTTCTTTCCAGAAAAACCCTACCTACTGCACCCATTACCCTCTTCAATACCATAACCCCACCTCCCTTCTTTCAGGCCCCATGCAACATGTGAGACATATTAACTTGTTAATTTAATACAGTAATTATTAATTTATTAGACTGAAGTTGAGTTGTATTGAAATAAATGTCAGATTGACCCAGGCTATGTAATTAAATCTTCTCTAAGGAAATGTATAGAGTTGTTGATTTCAATATAATAAGTATATCACTTGATAGTTAGGATATTATTTCAATTTTTCTTTCCATACACATTTCACCCTGAATTTTTAAGTTTTAGTTCACATATCCTTTACAACTAAAGAGATATCATTTAAGTTATCAGCTTCCTGTAATACTTTTCAATATCAATATATGAATCCTGGTTTTTCTGCAACTGAACAAATAGTAATAGTTATCTATGCAAGTCGATAGAGCAGAAGATCAAAGAAATGTGTAGTCGTTTGCTTTGAGACTTAAATAGACACTGTGTGTTTCCAAATCAAAAATTGCAAACTTGTTTTGGAAAAAGATTTTCCATGATTGCTCATACTGCACAATGTTGCCAGTCTAAAAGTGACTAAAAGAAGGATGTAAACCTCCATGTCAAATTTACGAAATTATTATCAAGGCACAGAAAAAAAAAGCAAAGTTTCCTATTCTAACCTTTGATATTTAAGAATAATATTTTTTTAATACACCTTACAAACTTAAAATCCCATCTATCTTGATTTTTTATTGCTTTTGTACCTCAATACATCAAAGAAGGTATATGTTAGTTTAAAATATATATAGACATTTCAAATCTACATTGATTTAATGTTGTTCTTTCTAAATTTAATTGATTTGAAAGAAAGTAGGACAATAATTTTTAATAAGTCACACCCTCCTAAAAAATCCAGTTGTGTCACTGCGTTCAAAAGTTTTTTTATGTCTGTACCTCAAGTTAGATGTTGTCAGGTCCACACAGACATGTCTGCACATATTGTCATTCATTTTCTAGTCCAATTAGTCTACTATTAAAAAAATTCTTGTGTGCACCTCCATTTAGACTTATTCTAGTCCAATCAGAGTGTACCTCTATTTAGATTGTTCTAGTCCAATCAGACTAGGCCTACTGCAAAGTATGCACCTGTAATTAGACATATTATAGTCCAATCAGACTAGGCCTACTGCAAGGTCTAGTTAGATGTATTCAATTTCAATCAGTCTAGGCCTACTGCACGGTCTAGTTAGATGTATTCTAGTCCAATCAGACTAGGCCAACTTCAAGGTCTAGTTAGACCATCTGCTGCAAAGGTTTTTCATGTCTGCAGTCAGTTGATCTTAAATTGAAGTCAACTCATCAAAAGATTATTTTTAAGTCCAAACACTGATATGAGCACTACTATCTACTGTGGTCATTCTTTTGTGATACCTGATTTCACTCTGTGATTGGTTTTGTCAACTAAAGATGAATTAATTAATGAATTGGCCTACATACAGATTAACCATCAAACTTTATCATACTGTTTATTAAGCTTACCTGAAAATAGAAAAATACAAATGGTGGAGATACATTTCACGAGGACATTAAATCATGAAGGGCATTTCCCAATAGTCAACTCTTCATCCATTTTAACTTAAAATTTCAAATTATCTTAAATCTAGCATGTAAATAGTAAACCAAAAGCTTCAAAATATCTGGGATTATAACAAAAACCAAATCTATCCCCTGGGTTATCTCTTCACCTAATTCTACTTCTATCAACACTTGATATTTTTCTAAGAGATGATATCTCAAGCGAGAGATGAAATGAGGTGCCTGTGGGGAAAATATAACTAGCAGAAGACTTGACCTTTGAAACCTTTTGATAAGCTAGGTGCCAGTTTAAATACCAGATCTGCTATAGTCTGTTTATTTCTCTCTATTCTACATCTTTTAACTTACTGATAAGCGGAAAGGCACAGGGGCTTAGAGAGTTAGAACCTTACTAATCTGAAGGAATAGGGGACAGATCTGGCGTAGGTTAGATCTTCAGATTTTCCCTGCTGGTTTTCTCCTGTCAGTAATGCAGGTCGGAGGAAAAAGTGTCTAATTAACTGAATTGGACAATAAGCCTTGTGTTTGTACATACTTAAAATCTCTAAGCAATTGGAAATCTAAAAGATAAATTGATTGGTCAATCAAATGACTCTAATACTGATTCTCAGTAACATAATAATGTCTTCCAATTTTTCTACGAAGTTAAAAATTTTCTACGGTTTCCTTTATATCTAACAACAGGAGAGTTTTTACATTTACCATTATTAGATCGTAGCGATACTTCTTTCTAATTTCTTTACAAACTGACAGTCACTCTCTAGGGATTCACACAGAAAAGTTAGAATTTTAAGAAATTAGTTTTGAATTTGTCTTTTTATTGGAGTGAAAATGTCAGATTTAGTGCTAATCAGAATTGACAGATTTCTTCTCAGAATTTGGAGCTTTTGTATTAAAGTGATGGTTTTTGAATTTGGAATATGAAAAAAAATCTTAACAAAAGTGATACAGAAATTGAGCTTTATATGGTATTTGCTAAAATTTAGCTGATCTAATTATCTCAGATGAATATACATATTGCTGAAATTGAGCTCTATCAGCTGGTAAAGTAAACACTTATACAGCTTTACAAATTGCTGAAATTGAACTCTATCAAACAAATATTGAGACAATTATACAGATAGCTAAAATTGAGTTCTTATATTAAAATATTTAGATGGCTATGCAGATAGCTGACCTTGAGCTTTTATCAGCTGGTATAGTAGAAAATTAAATGGTTACACAGACATGAAATTAAGCTCTGTCAGCTACTAAAGCAAATATTTAAGATGAATATATACTGGAATTGAGCTCATATCAGCTGCTAAAGCAATTATTTATATGACTATACGGATAGCTAAATTTGATTTAATTGGTAATGTAAATATTTAGACCACTTTATTTATAACTGAAATTTAACTCTTAGCTGGTAAAGAAAATATCTAGGTGACTATACCCCTTTAACTTTTCCAACTGATTTCCATCTGTAGTAAATTATGTTTAAAAGCACATGGAGAGAAGTAATTATAAAGTATAGTCAAGTCAAGTTGATAATGATAGGATGATATGAGACAGTTGTATCAAGTCTATAATTGTCTTGTCCTAAACTTTTAACTCTAACTTCACTCCTCAAAACACACACCAGTTTTTTCAGTTAGTCCAAAAACTTTGTTCATATAACAAAATAATTCCAAATAAATTGTTAAATGAGAAGGTATGTTCCAAGGTTTTAGTTATAGTTATTCTAGCATATACCTAAAAAAAAAATGAAGAACAAAGAGAAAAAAAATAGTTATAGTTTTTAAAAATATTTAATCCTTTTTCCCTCTGGAAAACATTTTTTCACAACCTGATTGTCATGAAACAGTTTTCTGAGCAATGTTGTCCTTAGGTTTTAATTACTTAGAACATGCAATAGTGAAATTGCTTGCTTTGCTAAAACTTTGCTCAGTCATCCTTACTGTAAATTGGTAAGGATAATCTGGGAAAGATCAATACCAAGAGGTTTGACCGTTGACCAGCTGGTAGACAGGATCTTCATGAATCTAATTTGTAATCCTTGTAAAAAAAGACTCCCTTTATAGCACAAGACAAAAAAAAACAATTGAGTGAGATAATGGAATTTATAATTTTCTAAGTCAGCTGTCCTGATGATCAGGTTATACCCAAAACGTGTGTTGAGAGCATAACCTGATCTTTTTATTAATGATAATTGGACACAACTGAAGGTGAACAGCTGCAGAAAGCACCTACAGTGGACTAAGAAACGTCTTGCAGTTCACTGCATTGAAACCTAACTCAATGAACTTGCGGCTGACTGGCTAACATAGCATGTAGGTTTCCACGTAATTATTCTGTTCATATAGAATTAAATTATTGATTCATTGATTTAGTTAAAAATGGTTGAACATCAACCATCTGATATCATCTCTGTTTCTTGCGTTCACTTGAAGATTTATTTTGTTTTTCCTCATCAGAACTTGATTAACACTAGACAATATTTACAGTAAAAATCTGGAACACGTTGAGACCAAAATGTTAAAAATGGCACTAGAGACAATGTTTCTTTTGTTTATACTTGGATGGTACGAGACCCCCCTGAGTTTATGGCAGCAGCAGTAGGGAACACTAGGCATATCTCAACTAGTCAAAAACACATGTTTGCCTCCAAGAATTAGAACGTGAGAAATTGTCATGCTATTAAGTGGTTTGTTTTTATTTTCAAGTTTCATTTTTATTATGATTCAAAATAACAATTGAAATAAATCAGGTCAAGTGGATATTATAAGAGAATATTATTTATAAATAATCTGATTATTATGTGGTATCAAGTGTTTTTGAGAGTTCAGTCTGAATTGGAATTCAATTACTCTGGTAAAAGCTACATTTTTTTTTGGATAAATCATGGGTGATTTTGAGGTTTATTTGTGGTGAGTGAGGTTAAAAGAAAAATCCTGCTTACCTCATGTTTCCATTTTCTCACAATTCAAAAACCATGAGAAATGTATTAGAGGATTAGTAAGAATCAGCTAGTTTATATTTAACAATCTAACTAGAAATATCTATATTATCAGGGGCTGGAGTCAGCAAGTTTCTGACTATGACAGAGGTTTTAACAGTAAATGTTAAGATATTGATCAAGTTTGTACCATGACAGTGATTCAGTGATGATGTCACCTGGAATTCTCGGAATTCCACAACGTGTCAAGAAATGCTGAGTCATGCCATGTGTAATAATCACAAACTACAGTCCTAAACCATTTATCAAAAATTATAGGTTGATGATATCAGCCAATACAACAAAATGTTTTATGAACACAAAACAGTTTTCAAAGGCTCCACATGTTTGAGTGCTATTGGGGAAGGCCTTTTTTAGGTACCACTAATACCTGCAAAGCTGCAAAAGTAATCTTAGTCAATGTAGAGGTTTGGGCAGAAAGCACAAGCTTTGTCAGTAGACACCTGGTTTTGACATTTATTCCATCCTGAATGATTTGTTGTTTAGTTAATACAAGTTAAACCACAAGAAAATCTCTGAAAACAAATGTGCTGAGTCATCATTCTGAATGAAACTAAGTCATGATTTCAACCTTTAATGTTTCTTTATTTCATCTTGATACCAGGTCTCTACTTTCTTTAAAAAAAATCATCATGTCTGTTCAAATATATACATGTGTGTGCATGCAGAATTTGAAATCAGACAAAAGAATACTTAAATGTGTACTGATTTATGAAATATATGAGTCATGATTGTCTGTAGTAAACCTAGAGCTATAAAATCTTTGAATAAAACAAATTTCATGACAGGAATAGAGTACAACTTTGAAGTACCATATATTTACATATTTATCTATGTATCTCCCAAAAAACTAACAAAATTAGTCCCAATATCCAAAACTAATAGACAATTAGACAAAGGTTGACCACCCTCTAGTATAGAATCCAGAGTTCGGTGATGATTGTTGTTTCTATAAACAGTAAATTGTACAACAGCTGGTCCCCCTCTAGAATGTAATCCAGAGTTAGATGATGTCTCATGTTTGTATACATTAACAACAGTTGACCACTCTCAAGAATATAATCCAGAGTTGGGTGATGTCTTTTGTTTCTGTACATTGACAATAGTACAACAGTTGATCAATCTCAGTTGTGTGTATTAATAATATGACTTGTCATTTCCTTTCAGAAATTTCTAAATGAAAAATGTGTCCATGTTTGAGTTGGTATCAACTCCGGTCAATCTAATACTGTTAGTACTGTTTTTAACTGATATTTCCATTCACTTGAAGATCTACAGCATTGGACATTGAACACATCAGTTGACATTTTTATAATGCTGTCCTGATGTGATGTGATGTGATGTGCTATTTAATGATCAAGAAAACTAACTATTCCTTTAAACATTCAGCAAAAGAACAAATGCATGTTTTTAATGAAGTTTCAACATGAACAATGCTGAGTGATATGTCAACACGATGATATTGACGATAATCGGTCAAATATCGATTACCCACAAACCCCTATTATTCCAAGAATAATACTTAGCAGCAATATTCTATGTCAATAAATTAAACCACAACATAATGGCCATGATAATTATTATTATATCACAGGCTTTTAGTTCATTAATTGTTAGAGTGTACTCTGCTGTTTATATTGAGGGACTCTGTGTTGTGGCTTGGCAATGATTTGTGCTGGAAGTTATAGTTGTAACTTAGCAATGATTTGTGTCAGAGGTAATAGTTGTATCTTATCAATGATTTGTCTCTGATAGAATCATTGTTGTGTCTTGACAATGATTTGTGCTTGAGGGAATTATTGTTGTGTCGTGACAATGATTTGTGCTTGAGGGAATCATTGTTGTGGCTGGGCAATGATTTGTCTATGCCATGTTTTTGGTTTAATGAATCAGAAGCTTGCTCATTACCTAATGGTCTGGTCCTTACATACGTTGAGATGATGCTTTTGTATTTTTAAGTTTTCAATTAAATCATGCCTCACTTTATTGTCCCTTCTGGACAACTACCCTGAGTTTTTGACTGGATAACTGTAAGTTAAAAGGGTTAACTTTACCATGAACTTATCTTCCAAGTTATGGTTTTAAACTTGTTCAAGGTCAAACAAATCTCCTTAATGAAACTCAAGACTTCAAATGAAGTGTTTCAGCTGAATTGAACTCAGAAAGAGGCTGTCTATTTTAACAAGTGTGGGTGGACAGTTTCAATTAAGTTTAGTTTTCCTTCACTTTATCAAACTTGCTTCTCATCAATGAGAGTTGTGCATCTGTAGACCCTCTCCTTCATATAAGTTCCCTGCTTTCGCTTATATGAAAAAAAATACATTTGCCTAATTTTTTTATTGTACAAACGAGGTAAAACACACTTGCCTAGTTGCTCCTGAAGAGTTCAATTAGACCACCTAAACAAGTACAGAGTTTCCAAAACCAGCTGCTTTGGTGAGGATTTTGTAGTCAAAACATCTATTAGCAGCATTAGAGGTTCGATAACACAGTCAATTAGACTCTGTTTTTTACATGACGTCATTTGTTTGTGGAGCAAATGGTGGTTGTGAGTTCTGATCTTGTTCAGCGTGTGATAAGTCATCTTCACTCATAATTCCAGACCACCCAGCTGTAAATCCGAGAAAGATCAATGCCAAGAAGTTTGACCACTTACCAGTTGGTAGAAATGAACCTCAACTGTGAACCTGATAAAATACAGTTGTTTATTTTTTTTAAATGGAATATTTCTGTTGCTAACATTTTTCTCCTGTTCAGTGTGTTCCCAGACAATAAACCTGATAGATATTGGAAAGTTTCAAATAGCACTTGTTATCCTGATGAGAACATCTGAAACTCTTGTTAGCAGCATCAGATAAGCTCTGGTGTCTGATGAGACAATAATTTTGCTTGAATCAATATTTTGTTGTTGAAAGATTTATCTCATGTAATTAGGATACCTATAAATGATTTTGAATCAAAAAACAAAAAAAATCTTTAGTACCAGTAGTTGATCTGCAACCATGAATATTCAGACACCTAAAAAACAACTTTAAACCAGAACTCAACAATTGACGAGATGATAATATAAATTCTTTCATTTATTTAGCCCATTCATTCATTTATTCACAATAAGGAAGTAAGGAAACTCATCTTGCTGAATCGTCGAAAATGGTTTTTACCTGGAGAAATTGTATACCAACATAATTACAATTTTAAATCTGATAGGTTTTTTTTAGCTTAAGTGTAATATCTTTAAAAAAGTAGACTAGATTAATCTAGTTAAAGCAGAAATGGCTATAGCCAGCTTCACTAAAGAAGCCGTCACACCACGAACGTTCTTGAAAATTAAACGTTCTCCACCGATTCCCGGCGACCACTGTCGTTCACACAACACTCTTCTGGCTCTATCCAAGCGACTATGGGCAACAACTAACTGTTCCTCAATGTCATGGTGTGACGACTCCATTAAACTTAACTTGGTTTGATTCCACTGTTCCAGTCAACTTATTATATTATCTTCTGATTGGTCAGTTACTTAAACAATTTTAATTCAGCTTAATAATAACATTACAATATCTCTTTAAAAAATAAAGTTTTGCGATAAAGTCCTCTGCTTTTCAGTCATTTGTATGAAAAAAAATACATATCTTTAAGTTTCTAAGCGATATTATGACAAACCTAATTGTTCATGAAGACTCATTACATTTATTTTTTGTAACATTTTTTTTAATCCTATAAATATTATTATACATCTAGAATATTAGAAATCTCATTAAAACATGTCCATTTTTACAATCATTTTTAAATATACTGGTTTTTATAGCATCTGAATTTGAGGTTTGATCAAAACATGTTTACTATTGACAAAAAATGTAAATTAAAAGTGAATGAAAAAATTTGTATAGGTGACTTTGAAAGCTTTAAGCAGTCATTGAAACTGTGATTTTAAAATTGTGTAGATTGAAGTCTAAAAATATGAGATTATAGTGCATTCAGACAATTAAAGTTAAAGCAGCTTAACTATCAACCGTTCTTCGAGCTCGTGTTTTTTAGTCATCTAAACATAAGCTGCTTTTACTTGCAGCTACTTTAGAGGTGGCTTAAAAGCTGGCTTAACTTTTCAAGTTTGGCCGTCTAAATGCAACTGGCTAACATTAAACCGAATATGTCATGTCTGCATATGCGCATTCTTCTAAACAAATTCCATTATTATTATTGTTATAATGCGCATGTTCAATGATGTGACCTGAATTTCTCAATAAATTCCAAGATAATGTCAAAGCTGGCTTAACTTTTATGTCCGTCTGAACGATTACCTAAACAGTAAACCAGACTCAACGACCTTTAGTCATCTGAACGTACTATTAGTGAATCCCAGTTTTGATTAAAAAGTATTCATTTTTTTTATTTAAACTATCAGAAGACTAAATATGATCAAACTCTGTAAAAATTCCATTTAAAAAATATTCAGGACTACTTCAGATTCATTAATAAAATGTCTAAAAATCTCAAGATTTTTTTATTAGTTTTTTTATCAGTATTTTTACTGTTTTTATTATGTTTGTGGTAAAATTTTACCAGGTGTTAACTATAAAATTAAAATTAATCAGAAATCAGGCAAGTTTATGACCAAATAAATCATAAGAAAACCCATTACTTTCTCAAATTTACTGTAGGTAATTTAATGATCATATATCAAGGCCAAATGGTTAAAAGAATTTTAAGTGGAATCAAAAATGGAAACTATTATCATAATAGGAAAGATAGTTTCAAGGTCTTATCATGTTTTTAACTGGAACTCAACATTTAAAATGATAACATACATTCATTCTTTTGCTAGTTCTTGTATTCATTCATTCATCTATTCCTAAATTCAATTGTTCACCTTTCTAATTGTTCGTTTATTCATTCTGAAATATTTATTCATTCATTCAGTCAGTCATATATATCTCCATTCAATTATTCA